AATCCTCTCCAGAGTTTTGTGTTGAATTCCTTAAGCACACACACACAGACACACACACGGCACATGCACACGGTACACTTTGTAGCACGCACACGCACAGACACACACACGGCACACGCACACACAGGACACACTTTGTAGACCAAGTGTAACTTATTGTTTTCTTTTACCAGATAAACAAGGTCCTAAGTCACACGCTTGTGTTTTAGCCTGATTTTATGGAATATGGTAGCAGTGGCTACAACACATTGGGAAAGATTCATAACATAAAACGGTGGCATTTTTATATAAATTAGGTGACTTTTAAGAGTAAAAAGACAGGCAGACACTGGGAGGAAATGTCTAACGGTGGTTTATCTCGGGGGGGCGGGGACTGTGGGTGACTGTTAATCATTACATTATGTTTTCGGTTATTTGGAGTAGTCAGCAATGAACACGTGTTGCTTGTAAAATTAGTAAGAAAACAATAAATTTCTTTAACAGTGAAAAAAGAGATTAAAGCTATAAATTAATAGACCAGATCAAGGTATACAAATGTTATACAAACTCACTATATAATCTTCTTGTACAAATTCACTGTATCATTTTTATATAAAATATATATTTAGTACACGAAAATGACTAGAGGAATAATTGCTGAGATTTTATTTTCTGCTTTAAGAAGCGCCAAAGAACCGAATTCTTTCTAAATATTGTGATAGAAGAAAAAACGTTCTTTGCAAAGATAGAAGCCCAGGTCTGATTTCTACATTGAGATGATCTGCCTATTAAGCTACATTCTGAGGATTATATTCAAATCATTTCTGCAGTTCCAGGGCACTTTGGCTGGCTCTACTGCATTATCACAACTTAGCATGGTTACGTGTGTCTGACGTCCTCTCGGTTTTTTGGATTTGATTTTTTAAACCTCAGTTACATACGAATAGTGATTGGTGCCATAAAACTTCTGTAAACAATTTGATAAGATACTGAAACTATCATTTTAGTAAGAATAGGATGACTGGAAAGACGAAAAAGTTCCAAGATGAAAAGCAGAATGAAAACGTCAATAGTTAAGGAAATCGTTCCCAGAGCCACCAATCAGTGATAGTTACACTTAATCGAATGGAACAAAGTGTTGATATTTACTGCTGTCTACAGGAGGCACTTTATGAATGAAGCCTGCAGGGCAGCCCGGAAGTTCACAGCTCCACCCTTATTGTCACCGACCCCTCCCCACCTGCCTCCACTCTGTTCTGTACACTTGCTCCCCCACAGAGCTGATCACGTGTTCCCTTGGCCAAAGCTGCTCCATCGCCCCCTACTCCACACAGACAGACTCCAGTCTAGTGTTCTTAGTTCTGCTTTGGAGGCCCTTCATCACCTGAAATGGCACAACTAAGCAAGCGGTATCTTCTAAAGTCTCCTAGGTTTGCTGACTGACTACAGATCCTGGAGTTCTCTCATGTACACAGGGCCTGCCTACCACTCCTTCTGGCCTTAATGCCCATCCAACGCATTGAATGGTGAAGCCCTTTCTCTGCTGAGCCCCAGTCCCACCTGGCTCTTGAAGCCTTTTGTGGCCACACTGGCTGAGTTAGCCACTAGCTCTTCCCAGTCCTTCCTTCTATGCTATCCCAGTCGTAGCTATGTATTATACTGAAATATAATGCTAGGGCCATTGTCCTGCACTGGTTTAGGAGTTTCTGAAGGGCAGGAGAGGCTGCATGTTTATTCCCGCCGCCCTGATCCTTCTCTGGCACACAGCAGGCAATGAACAAATGCTCACGGACGAAACTGCTGAAAGGCAGGGACAGCAGACAAAGTAAGTTCTTTAACGTAAATAAAGATCTAGGCTTTGCTGGAAAAAATTGAGAATGTAAATAACCTTACACACTGAAATCTAAATTTTCCATCATTGTATAAACATGTACGACTCTTTGGGGGGGTTTCCAACATTGCGCCTAAGTAAATGGTAACAGGAGAAATTTCCTGAAACCGTTCATCTGCTGAGTCTTTATTTGAGAAATTCATTTAAGCCCCTTCCCAGGGCTGTTTTCTTCCTCTGTTAGTCCAACTGTTCATTAATGTGGAGTGATTCATGAACACATTCAAATAAGTAAGAAAAAATTGTGTTTCTTTCCATAAGAAGGGCAGGAGTTTAATGGATTAAGAGGGAAGTGAAAATATTCACCATATATTGATGAATCTTGCTTTGTGACATAACAAACTCAGAAAAGTGGGAAAACCCTAAACCTGATTTCATCTGGACTAAGAAAAGCTGATGAGGCTACATGAAACTCCAAATCAGATGCCCCTTTCTCCTTCCTATGATGTGGTCCATCCTGGCCAGCAGCCGAAGCAGCTCGGGTCCAGCCTCCGTGTGTGTGAACTTAGCCAGACGACCCACAAAGGGAACCCGGGAACCTACCACGGTCTAGTTTCTTCACCCGGCTTTTCATCAAATGAAGCTGAATGCTCATGACATCAGTGCCCTACATCCTTAAGTCAAACATCATGAATATACAACTATGTTCCTATATTACTCAGAGAGAATTTCAGTTGATGGGACTAAACAGATCTTTACTGACTATACGCCTACAATGGACACCTCCTTCCATGATCTCCATTAGGAATGATCCTTTACCAGCCAAGGATGCCAAGAAAGGAGCCATATGTAATAGTTGCAAATAACTGAAACAGAAAAACCAGGTAAAAAGGGTCAGAAGTGCCTGTAGTTTTAGCTTTGGAAGAGTGATATTTCTTTTGGAGGGGCAGGCGGTTCCTGAAGGATAATAGAATTTAAGAGGTTATAAAATGGACGTCTCAATAGGGTTTTTGGAGAACTGTAAATCTGGCTTATGGCGGAGCCTATCCAGAGAAATCATGCCTAAAGATCATTATTTCGTGACCTTGAGGAAAAGCAAAATTGTCAGAGGGTTTCTTATCCCTGCCCATGAATGTACG